GGACACATATCCAGAATGGGTTCAAATCTCAATCTTCGAAGCAATAGTCCATAGTTTTACTTACTACTCGGCTAGAACATTAATTTAATTATATGAATTTGTATCTTTTAAATAAATAAATAAAATAGAAATAATATTATAATATAGAACATATTCATAATCTTTAGTATATCCATTTTGTTATTTCTTTTTTAAATGTGAAAAACATATAATAACTTTTCTGGATGTAAATAAGGCAGTAAGTTTAATATATTATTTTCATTAAATATAAATTAATGTTTTTAATAAAGACTTCAACAATAATTTTTTTTTTAAAAAAAAGACTAATTTTAAAGACAAATTAAAATAAATATATCTTTTTCATAATACATAAGAAGTTTTTTGGTTTGCTGTGATACAAGTAGTAAACAGTAAACATAATTTATTATTAGAATGTAGGCATAACGTTAAGTACAATTTATCATTTATTAGCGTGATAAACTAATGCAAAGTTTATCTCACAGAAGTTTCCGATTAAGTTTTCTTGCGTGAATTGAGGAATAATAACAGAACTCCATCGTTTATATGACTTTTAGCTGCATGTGTATAATAATCTTGTATCATGATGTGAATGTGTGTAATTATGTTTTGTTATAACCATTTATTGCGAATTCTTTAATTTGTATCAATAATTAAATTCTAAAACACCAGAAACGTCTACAATTGAAACTTCTAGTCTATGTTTATTTAATACATTTACGAGGGTAATCCCAAAAGTAACGTCTCCTATTTTTTAGAAATACAAATAAACGTTTATTTTCAATAATTTTTACATCATTTTAAAGCTTGAACATTTATCTATTTTCTACATAATCGCCATTTCCGTCGATGCATTTTTGTAGGCACTGTGGTAGTTTTTGTATGCCCATATCATACTAGCTCGCCGCCATGTCGCGTTAAATCAATTGAAATTCATCGCCAATTGATGGAAGTGTATGGCGAGTCGTGCATGGATGTCAAAAACATCCGTAAGTGGTTTAGGAAGTTTGCAGCTGGTCGTACTGAAATTCACAACAAAGAAAGAAGCGACAGTCAATTTCCGACTAGACAGTCGCGAAGATTGAACAAACCATGCGTGATAATTGGCGGATCACTCTGGATGATCTCTGCATTTTGGTTCCTAGAGTTTCCCGAAGCATCATTCATAGGATTTTAACGGAAAAGTTACAATATCGGAAGGTGTACGCAAGATGGGTCCCACGACATGGCGGCGAGCTGCTATGACATGGGCATACAATGCCACAGCGCCAAGCGGCCGGATGGCCGAGCGGTCAAGGTGGCAGCCCACCGCTCTGGGGGACCCGGGTTCGAATCCGAACGGGTCGAAAAATCCCCAGAAATTTTTTGGGGGGTGGTCCGTTCGGATATGTCGGGCCCCGTCCCTCACCACCCGGCAGCCCCATTGTGGGCCTGGCCGAACCCATAATGGGCTTGCAAAAAGAGGCCCTCTTAGTGCTCACAGGGCGGAAAGAGTTTAAAAAAATGCCACAGAGCCTACAAAAATGCATCGATCGAAATAGCGATTTCGTAAAAACGTAGATAAATGTTCAAGCTTTGTAAAAATAATTGAAAATAAACGTTTCTTTGTATTTCTAAAATATAAGAGACTTTACTTTTGGGTTACCCTCGTATATATGTAAAATCCTTCTTTTTAACTTATTAGCCTATGTATTAACATTTAAGGATGAATAATCGGCAGTCATAAGGTCCCTTCTGCCCTTTGTATAGAACACTCTGGCACCTTTGTGTTTGTACAGCGACACAAAGCAAGATGCTGTCATTGTTGGAAACATTTGTGGATACTTTCTTTGGAAATAGCCATCAGTGCCTCTGTCGAATTCCGTTTAATGTCCATGACAGCGTCAAATCGATGGCATTTGAGAACTTTCTTTAGTCTCGAATGTAGGAGAAGTCCTCTATAGCCAAGTTCGGAGAATAGGCTACTGTTCCATGTTTCGCCAAAAATTGCCGCACAAGTAATGTTGTATGAGCAAGGTATTGTCCCGGTGTAGCATTCACACGTCGTTTTTCCATTTTTGTGGTGGTCTTTCTCTTTTATCTTGCTCCTCTGTTAGCAAGTGCGGCACAAACTTTGCGCTTCGTGTTGAAATCTTTTGTTAAAATAAAATGGTCACATCCCCAAAATTCTGACTTCTTCGGCGATCTTCCACGCAGTCAGATATTCTCTTCCCTCTTTAAAACGAACATTTAAAAACTTGCGAACAGCCCATGACGTCATTTCTGTAGACTAATTGCAATAATTAAAATGTTCCCTTAGCGGTTTTACCGATTTGAATGCAGACCTTGATGCACACGTGTTGCTTTGTATTCTCTGACTTATCGAAATCTCTCGCGAAGTCATAAGATGTATCAGCATTGTACAATTTATAATATTTCTAAGACTTATAGAAACATGTCTGGCACGATTGGACTGGCCGGCATGCCATTGCCTTTGCACTAAAAGACCACCATGGATACTTTTTGACTGAGTCACACACATTAAAACTTTGAACTTTCTAAACCACAAAATTCTGTTATTGTCATTTAGAAAAAATATCTTTTTTAAATCTTTCTGTTGTTTCAATTAATTTGATATCATCTTTTAAAGTACAGTGGAACCTCGGTATACGACCTTAATCCGTTCCTAATGTTTGGACTTATACCGAATAGGACGTATACCAAACCAACCTTTCCCATAAGAAGTAATGTAAAAATGATTATTCCGTTCTCGTGTAAAAAAAATGGCTGGCTTTAAACACCTCGCTTTCCTGGCTAGTTCCTGCTTGATTTTTCGTGAGATCAGCGTGTACCTTTTTAGCTTTCTCGCAAATAATTGCTTTCGATACGCTGTCTCCAGCACTGTTTTTCAGTTATCCAAAGCAAAAGCAATTTCTCGACATGATCTAATGTCTTCGATCTCTGTTTAGAAATTGATTTAACCCCTTTCGCAACGTTAGCA